CTTTGGGATGTCAGTGGCAGTTAGTCAGTTCCCGCCAGTGTCAGAATTCCCGCCGCAGTCCCGCTATAAGTTGCTGATTGCCGTCAATACTAGTAAAAAAAAAAAGAAAAATCCCCCAGTATATATACCGCCATTTGTAGACGCTATAACTTTCACATAAACCAATTAATATGCACTTATTGGGATTTTTTTAGCAAAGACATGCAGCAGAATACAATTTATGAAGAAATTTGGCTTTTTAATTTTTTTTACTGGATTTTTTTTATATTAAAATCAAAAATATAGTTTTTTTTTCAAAATTGTCGGTCTTTTTTTGTTTATAGAGAAAAAAATAAAAAACACACAAGTGATCAAATACTATCCAAAGAAATCTCCATTTGAGGTAAAAAAAAAAGGACATAAATTTCATTTGGGTGCAGCATTGCATGACCGTGCAATTGTCAGTTAAAGTAACACAGTGCTGTATCACAAAAAATGGCCTGGTCAGGAAGGGGGGTAAATCCTCTGGAGGGCAAGTGGTTAATGGTACACACTTACTAGAGCCAGTTTCACAGGAAACAGTTTACCTGTGTACCAATGCAACTTTATTAAGCGAACGCTACCAGCATTTTTAAAACGCCTACTGTGCAGAAAGCCTTAAAATCATTTTGATACATAATAATTATTAAATCTCACACAAAAATGATTGCATCTATGGTTAGCCTTCGACTCTCAGACTTGCACTGAAGGGGCAGTATACAGTCACTGTAAAGCACTGTTAAGCAGGAAGCTGAGGTTGCATATGTAATAAAGAAATATGGATACCCTATGCTTCTTTTTTATTCTTTGTTACATCTCAGTGCTACTTATCCCTGCAGCCACTTCCTGTCTACATGCACTCCAGTGATGGCTGAATAGCACTTTTCAGGGTGATGGTGACAACATTGTACAATGTCTGGCTAATGTGGGTTTAAAGGATCACTTATATCAATCTGCAGCCTGTTTGCAGGGTGACAATGCAGGAATACAATTGGGAGACATGGACCTAGCTTTGTCACTCCACAACAGGAAGTGCCTGGACAAAGACCTTCAAGGCAGGACTCTCATATAAGTATTATTTTAATGTAAGCATCAAATTTAAAAATACTGAAAATAAGTTTTGAAATGGCATAACATGGTAAATATGAGATTATTATTATTATACAGTATTTATATAGCGGCAAAAGGTTTGCTCAGCGCTGCACATTATAGTGGGGGACAGAACATGAGACAATACAGTAACAAAACAATGTACGAGGGGTTCCAGGGCCCTGCTCTTTGGAGCTTACAATCTAGGAGGGAGGGGAAAGTGGTACAGGAGGAAGTGGCTGTGGGGGATGGAGTGGTAGGAGGAGTGGAGGAGATCGGCTGTTAGGTGAGGGTGGGGTAGGCTTCCCTAAAGAGATGAGTTTTCAGGGTGTGCCTAAAGGTGAGGAGGGTAGGTGACAGTCTGATGGATTGGGGTAGTGAGTTCCACAGGATGGGGGAAGTCCTGGAGAAGTCCTGCAGTCGGGCGTGGGAGGTGGAGACCAGGGAGCTAGAAAGTAGGAGGTCTTGTGAGGAGCGAAGATTACGGGTTGGGTGGTATTTGGGTATCAGGTCAGTGAGGTAGTTTGGGGCAGCGTTGTGAATGGCTTTGTATGTCTGTGTTAGTAGTTGAATTTAATGCGTTGGGCAATCGGAAGCCAATGGAGGGAATGACAGAGGGGGGTGGCAGAAGAGGAACGGTTGGTAAGGTGGATGAGTCTGGCCATTGAGTTCAGGATAGACTGAAGCGGGGATAGTCTGCCATGAGGTAGGCCGGTGAGGAGGGAGTTGCAGTAGTCAAGTCGTGAGATAATAAGGGAGTGAATGAGTTGTTTAGTAGTGTCTGGGGTTAGGAACGGATGTATTTTGGAGATGTTGCGGAGGTGGAGCGTGCATGAGTTTGCCAGCGATTGGACATGGGGTTGGAAGGACAGGTTTGAGTCTAGAGTGACACCTAGGACTTTGGCTTGCGGGGTGGGACTGATGGTGGTGTTGTTGGTCATGATGGAGAGGGTGGAGGGGGGGGGGGCGCGGGCTGGGGGGAAGATTAGGAGCTCAAGATATCAGTGACTGGATTTACATACATCTTCCCAAATCAGCTGTTTTAGCCATAGACAAACTGAGCTTATCTCAGGAGTCAGCAGTACTGGCTGCGTCCACAAATGTCTGACACAGATCAGCCCCTGCTTCAGCCTCTCACCTTGCTACAAATGTTTGATCACTGGGGGAGAGGGAGTGGGGAAATGCTTCCTCCTGCCTGCAGTGGACTGATGACATCATCTCAGCCTAGGGAAAATCATTGCAGCTAAAGAGCTACTTTTCAATGATACAGGGTGGTGAAAACTGACAGTGTCCCTGTATATTGCTACTTGTCAGGAATTTATTTATGAAGATTTGTAAAGTTACTAAAAGGTCTGCTTTAAATATGGAAAAGCTGAATGAGGATGTGCATGATGCAGTAAGCTTCTTGCAACCAAAACAAGGCGTCATTGCCTCCAAGGCTACCACGCTAAGCAGTGGGCTACGTCGTTCACAGGCGTATTTCTGAGCCTGTGTGTAGGCAGCTGTGCTGGACCCGGCGCGGCTCAGTGCTTCTCCTTTGTAGGCGGATGTGCAGCACACAATGTGCCTGCCTAATCAGGGTGCTTCACCAGCACTGTCACTCATGGTGCATGTGTATATACAGCTGTCTCTCTGTTTAGGTGCTTGTCAGTGTGGCTGACAGTCTGGGATGAGCCTCCTTTGTTCCCAGTCTGTCTCTTTTTCTCACTAGCTCCCTAGCCCCTATCAGTAAATTTCATTTGCCGCTTGTCTCTGCACATTTTCCCATTACCACTCGTAGCCTGGCTGCAATTATGATTTTTCTGTCTCTTTTCTCCCTGGTGACAGTCCCCTTAACACCCCCTCCCTCGCAGATCTCTCGCAAGCCAGAGGCTCCGCAATTGTGCCCCTCTAAAACAACGTGCAGCTACATCCCAAACATGTGCAATCACAGACCACAGGGGGAATTCAGCGCGCTATCTCCCGCTGTCACCTTCCCCATCTCACCATTCTCTTCCTGCACCTCCTGCCAATCACTGACATGTCAGACGGGATCCCACCCCTCCGCCTCCATCTCTCAGCACATAGCGGTGCTGTCTGCAGCTGCGGGAGCCTTCTCTCAGGCCTACATTGTCCTTGTGATGTGCCTAACCCTTTCAGGGAAGTGTCACAGACACAGGTCTGCGGTCTTAGGCCTCGTTCACACCATACATGCAGAAAATCTGATGGAAACTGATGCACAGATTTCACTTGCAGAGACATCAGTATTCATGTTCGTTTCAGTGAGTTTTATACACGTTGCAGATTCCTGCGCAGAACAAAAATCTGCACGTGATACTAGTGTTGTGGTGTGAGCAGGGCACACAGAAAACAGTTGATTTCATTGTGCCCTTGCAGAATGCGTGCAGAAAAACTGACGTGTCTGCCCCATGGTGTGAACGAGGCCTTAGATGTAAAATCCTATCATGAAAATCTCAGATAAGCTTTAACCGCTTTCCTGGCGCCCTATAGCAGAAATACTGCTACAGGGTCGCAGGGGTGCGCAAAGTCACGTATACAGATGTGATTTCACGGGTAGGGGGCGCGCACTCTGTACCTGCGCCACCATTGGCGGCCTCACCTGTCAATCACCGGGTCCTGGCCAGTGTTTCCCTGCCGGCACCCAGCGATCACCGTGTATCACCAACGGGGGAGAGACCTGTATGTAAACAATACAGATCTCTCCCCTGTCAGCCCCTGCAAATTGCTTTGTATGGCTCTGCATAGCAGAGCCATACAAAGAAAGTGTGCTTTCACATTACAGTACACAATTAACATTTTGATCGCCCCAGATGTTAACCCTTTCTTGCCCAGTGTCATTAGTACAGTGTTAATGCTTTTTATTAGCACTGATCACTGTATTGGTGTCACTGGGGATGTCAGTGGCAGTTAGTCAGTTCCTCCCCAGTGTCAGAATGCCCGCTGCAGTCCCGCTATAAGTTGCTGATCGCCCCCATTACTAGTAAAAACATTTTTAAAAAAATCCAGTATATATACTGCCATTTGTAGACACTATAACTTTCATGTAAACCAAGTAATTTACACATATTGGGATTTTGTTTAGCAAAGACATGTAGCAGAATACATTTGGCCTAAATTCACGACAAAGTTAGATTTTTAAAAATTTTTTTTACTAGAGATGTTTAATAGCAAAAAGTCAAAAATATTGTTTTTTTTTTCTCAAACTTGTCGGTATTTTTTTTTCATAGCGCAAAAAATGAAAAATGCAGAGGCGATCAAATACCACCGAAAGAAAGCTCTATTTGTGTGAAAAAAGGACATACATTTCATTTGGGTGCAGCGTTGCATGACCGCACAATTGTCAGTTCAAGTAACGCAGCTCCGTATCACAAAAAATGGCCTGGTCAGGAAGGAGGTTAAATCTGGAGGGCAAGTGGTTAAAGAGACCCAGTCACCAACTTAAATAATTTGCATATAAAAGCACAAAAAGAATTGAGTATTTTAACCACTTGCCTAGAGGACACTTATACCCGCTTCCTGCCCAGGCCAATTTCCAGCTTTCAGCGCTGTCACACTTTGAATGACAATTGCGCGGTCATGCAACACTGTACCCATATGAAATTTTTTTATCATTTTTTTTAGACAGATAGAGCTTTCTTTTGGTGGTATTTAATCACCTCTGAGTTTTTATGTTTTGCTAAACAAACCAAAAACAACTGAAAATTTTGAAAAAGACAATTTTTTCTTAGTTTTTGTTACAAAATGTTTTAAATAGGTGATTTTTCTCCTTCATTGATTTTCGCTAATGAGGCTGCAGTGATGGGCACTGATAGGTTGCACTGATGGGCACTGATAGGTGGCACTGATGAGGAGGCAGTAGTAGGTGGCACTGATGAGGAGGCACTAGTAGGTGGCACTGATGAGGAGGCACTAGTAGGTGGCACTGATGGGCATTGACAGGCATCACTGATGGGCACTGAAAGGCAGCACTCATATATGGCACTGACAGGTGGCACTGACTGGCACTGATAGGTGGCACTGACTGGCACTGTTAGGCAGCACTGACATGCACTGATAGGCGGCACTGATGCGCACTGATTGGCGGCACTGACTGGCACTGATTGGCATTGATTGGCAGCACTGATAGGTAGCACTGACTGGCATTGATAGGTGGCACTGACTGGCAATGATACTGTAGGTGACACTGAAAGGCAGCTCAGATGGGCACTGATATGTGACATTGATGTGCACTGGTAGGCACTGATATGTGGCATTGATGTGCACTTTTAGGCACTGATATGTGGCATTGATGAGGCACTGGCAGGTGGCTGATGAGCACTGACAGCTGGCATTGATGGGTACTGACAGGTGGCACTGCTGGGGCTACACTGATCATCAGGGCACACTGATCATCATTGCTCTGATGATCAGTGTACATGTCCCCTCTGAGGAATGCCAATTGCCGGCTCTCCTTTCCTCTCGAGCCGTCACTTCCCTATTTACATGTGCGATCAGCTGTGATTGGACACAGCTGATCACATGACCAAGCTGACATCTTCGGCTCTTTCTGTTGATCGGTGATTCTCTGTGTCCGAGGGATACAGCGCACCACCGATCGTCGCATGCTCCTGGAGCCGCGCACGCACAGTTAAAGTGGGAGGACATCATATGATGGCCTCCCAGAATGATAGAACCACCTTGCGCCCATCCTTATATGGCAGGCGGGAGACGGTTAAATGCTTACTTTCCATCAACAATAATTTTCATTGACTTGCAATGCGCATGTGAACCTGCTAGAGAATTGACACTCCAGCATCTCCTTATGCATCATAGCCCTCTCCTCTTCTGGGAGTGTCTAATTACTGTCTGTGCTGGCCCAGTTCCTCTGCCCCTCCCCTCACCTCCCAGCATAACTTTACGGTATATGTAGCATCCGGGAAGGAGCAACGGTGAATACTACATAGTGTCAAAGTGACAGCTCTGAGTCTGCTGGGGCTGCTCATCACATCCCAGATGCTGGCACTCAGCAGAAGTGTGAGGGATTTTGGATCGATACACAAGGGAGGCTTTTACAGGTAAATAACATGCATAAAACATGTTAAATGCCCCGCCCCAACTCATCACCATAGTTAAAACAAAATCAAAATCTTTTTAAATGCCCTTTTTAACTTACTTTATAAGTTACTGATCTCCTTCCCAGTCTGAGTGCTGCTGTGCAGTGTATTTTAAGAGGGTGAAATAAATCAAATTCAGGTATATATTTAGTTTTCCTTAATAAATACAAAATTGCATTATTTTTTTTATATTGCTCCTCTCCAGCCCTCCTCGCTCTGCTTCTCCCAACCTGACTCTCTCTCCTTTTTTTTCGTCCTGCTTTTTTCTCTCTCTCCCTCCCTCCTCTCTCCCCTTACCTTTCTCCATCCCTCTATATGTCTCTTTTACTTCCTCTCTCCCCTCCCTTTCCCTCCCTCTCATCTTCCCCCCCTTTCTTTCTGTCCCTCGCTCTCTTCTCTCTCTCACCCTCCCTCCTTCTCCCCCCCCCCCCACTCTCCTTCCCTTGCTTCTACTTGCTATCTCTTTCCCTCTCCTTCCCTCTTTATCACATACTCTTGTCCACTCTTTTCTCCTTCCCCTTTCTTGTCTCCCTTTCCCCTCCCTCCCCACCCCCTTTTTTTTCTTTCTTCTCAATTTCTCTTTGCCATGCTTTTGCCATGGGTTAACAACTACTTTAACCCCCTCTTCCCTCCATCTTTTTCTCCCTCCCCCATCCTTTAAATATCTCTCCTTTTTTTCTCACATTCTCTTTCCCATCCTTTTCTCCTCACTCCTTTCTTGTCCTCCCCCCCTTTCTTCCTCCTAACTTCTATTTTTTTTCTTCCTCCTTCTCACATTCTCTTTCTCGACTTTTTCTCCTTCTCCTCTTTTATCTCTATACTTCCTTGCCTGCCTCCCTCCCTCTATCTCTCTCCCCCTCCATCTCTATCTTTTTCTCCCTCCTCTTTCTCCCTCCTTTCTTCTATCTCTCTCTCCATCCATCGCTCTATCTCTCCCCCTCCCCTCTTTCCTTCTCTTCTTCCCTCCCTCTATCTCCCCCCTCCCCTTCTCTTCCTCCCCCTCCATCTCTCTCTCCATCCCTCTATCTCTCCCCCTCCCCTCTTTCCTCTCTCTTCCTCCCTCCCTCCCCCTCTCTCAATCCATCTATCTCTCCCCCCCCCCTTCTTCTTCTCCCTCCCTCTATCTCTCTCTCCATCCCTCTTTCCTTTCTCTCCTCTCTTCTCCCTCCCTCCCTCCCTCTTCTTTCCCTCTCTATCTATCCTATCTCTATCTATCTATCTATCTATCTAATCTATCTCTATCTATCTATCCTCCTTCTATCAACCTCTATCTCTCCCTCTCTCCTTCCCCCCCTCCCTCCCTCCCATCTTTCTTCTCTTCCTCCCTCGCTCCCTTCCTTTATGTCTCCCGCCTTCTATCTCTCTCTCCCCCTCCATCTCTATCTTTTTCTCCCTCCTCTTTCTCCCTCCTTTCTTCTATCTCTCTCTCCATCCATTGCTCTATCTCTCCCCCTCCCCTCTTTCCTTTCTTTCTTCTTTTCCCTTTTTCTCTTCCTCCCTCCATCTCTCTCTCCATCCCTCTATCTCCCCCCCCCTCCCCTCTTTCCTTCTGTTCCTCCCTCCCTCCCTCTCTCTTAATCCATCTATCTCTCCCCCCTTCCCCTTCTCTTCCTCCCTCCCTCCCTCTATCTCTCTCTCCATCCCTCTTTCCTTCTCTTCCTCTCCTCTCTCTCTCTCCCTCCCAGCCCTTCCTCTCTCACCTCCTCCTTCTATCTCTTTTCCCTCCCTCCCAGCCCCTACCTCTCACTCCTTCTATCTCTCTATCTTCCCCCCTTCTTCATCCCCTCCCCTACCTCTCACCTTCTATCTTTCTCACTTCCCTTTATCTCTCTCTCCCTCTCTCCCTCCTCCCCCTCTCTTCACTCCCTTCCTATCTCTTTCTCCCTCCCCATCTTCCCTGCCATCTTTCCTCTCTTCTTCCCTCCCTCTCTCTTTCCCTCCTTCTATCTCCCTCTATCTCTCCCTCACTCTCTCTCCTTCCTTCCCCTATCCTCTCTCCCTCTTCCTCTCTCTATCTCTCCCTCCCTCTCTCCCTCCTTCCCATCTTTCCTTCTATTCCTCCTCCCTCTATCTCTCTCCCGCCTTCTATCCATTGCTCTCTCCCTCCCTCTATCTTTCTCCTGCCTTCTATCCATCCCACTCTCCCTCCATCTTTCACTCACCTTCTATCCATCTCTCTCTTTCTCCCTCTATCTTTTTCTCCCGCCTTCCATACATCTCTCTCCCTCCCTCTACCTCTCTGCTCTCTCTATATCTCTCCCTCCCCCTCCTTACCACCCATCTTTCCTTCTCTTCTTCCCTCTATCTCTCCCTCCCCCCCTCTCTCTCTCCCTCTCTCTCACATTCCTCCCTCCTTCTATCTCTCTCTCCTCCCCTCGCCTCTTTCCTTCTCTTCCTCTATCTCTCCCTCCTTCCCTCCCCCCCCCCTCTCTCTCTCTCCCTCTCGCTCACATTCTTTCCCCACCTCCAGTACCAGTGGCAGTTTGTACTGTAAACTGCGTCCTTAAATAAGAAGAGCACTGGGGGAACTGCTGGCTGTGCATGTTCACCTTCTGCTCCGATGCACCTGATGGCTCTGTGTACATCTCATCCTGCATCCTCCGTCACGCCACCTCACTTACAGGAAAATCCTGGAATTAGTCTTCAGTTTCCCCATTGCTGAACTGAATGTGTGCCTCCACCTCCAGGAACTGAGGGTGACGCTCACTGGACTGGAAGGTGGCAGATTTAAGCATTGTCCTTCTGCTATGTGAAAGTGACCCACAAGTCTTCCTACAGTCCAAGCAAATATAAAGTGGCCCTTTTTTCCTGTTCATATGGGGACAGCATAATATCAGAAACATCGTAAGGCACTTTAAAGGTCATTAAATTTGTTGTATACCTCAGACATGAAATATAAACAAAGCATAATCCTCTATAGTACCGATTTGTACCTGCCTCAATTAAGGTCACTAAGGCCTGTGATCAGTTGGGATGTAATGTCAAGCAGATATACTGACAAGAAGCTTCAATTAACTGCCATGGCGCTCCACAGCACCATGGTAGTTTACTGAAAACTAGTGGACAGCCACTAAGGCTGTCGGGACTTGTAGGCACTCATTCACAGAACACTGACGCGGCCTTGTGGGCGGATCCCCGCACAGCCGCGCTGTTGTCAAATTTGACAGATAATACGGGGAAACTTCTATCTGTACTATCTGTCAGAGGGAGGATAGCGGCGAGTGCGGCTGCAGCTATGGGAACATGTTACATGTTCCACCCTAAAAATGAGTGGAACATGTAACATGTTCCAAAGGTGAACTTATCCTTTAAAATTCAGCACTTTGAACTGTTGTAGAGAATAGAAAACTGCAGATAGACAGGTACAACTTATGTAGGAGGATTTGCTTCATCTCTATATCACCTGAGGCCAGTCATTTCACTGAGTTTATGTACGGGTTTACAACTACTTTAACCCCTTTCCATCGACAGTACTCAGATATGCATCCTCACTGAAGTGTGTTCCCAACATACTAGCGACCGGGACCTGGGACTGCAGTCACTGTGCACTCGTGTTTTCTTCTCTTCTGAATGAATACATTGTATCTTTCTCTCCTTGCATGAGAAAAAGGTGTAAACAAAGTGTGTATAATTAATAAATAAAAATAAAAAAAAAAAAAAAAATAATAATAATATATATATATATAGATCAAGGTTTGCTCTAGGTCAGTGCCAGGGTTAGGGTCAAGGTAAAGGTAAAGGTATAGGGCAAAGGTTGGGTCAAGGTCAGTGTATTTTGAGTTGAATTTTTTTTTAAAAGCATTTTTTGAATTACTATTCAGTTAGTGCCAGTGTATTTTAGGTAGAATAAAAAAAAGCAAAATGTGCATCATTGTTTGTAGTACGGGTACAAACCACAACTAACAAATACATATGTGGTATTGCTGCGAACATCAGGAGAAGGATAATTTTATTCGGGTTGCTCTTTGGTGGTAAATTATGGTAATAGCACGAAATATACCGTTAAATAAAAAAAAATGATATTTTGCACTACACTGCTCAAAAAAAAAACACATCAGATTTCGATGGGGAAACATATCATGCTGGATATCTATACTGGTATGGACTTGGTAATGTGTTAGGAATGTAAGGATGCCCCATCATTTGATGGAAATGAAAATTATCAACCTTCAGAGGACCGAATTCAAAGACATACCAAAAATCAAAGTGAAAAATGATGCAGCAGGCTAGTTCATTTTGCTGAAATTTCATTACAGCAACTCAAAATGGTACTCAGTAGTTTGT